TGACAGATTTCCTAACCTAAATAGTCGTCAACTTTAACGTTAAATATCTCGGTTCGTAGGGCAGAGCGACACTTTTTTCTGCCAGATTCTTTCGTTTCATGCAAAAACGCATCGAATAAGCCTAATTTGATCGATTTTTAAGGTGAGGCAGTGATTCTGTATAATTACCCGGCAGTGCTTGTGCTCAGACCCTTAGATAGACGGAGCGTTCATACGTGAGAAGTTGAAGACAACATTGAAGGACAGCTCTATTCCAGACTAGAGTCCCTATACTAAGAGTCTGGCCAAGGTCTAGTTCTTTGGTCTAGTTCGACAAAACATGGCGTCGTCGTACATAACCAAAAACGTGAGGGGCTACGCAAAATAAAAGGAACAGAGAATAAGAATTTCAACCTATCAGAAATCATGTACTATGGAATAAACAGTGTGTATTCCATAGTACATGATTTCTGATAGGTTGAAATTCTTAAGCGGGGAGCACAGACTTTTGCATAACGCATAAAGCATGTGCATAAGGAATTTCATTGGTCCATTTTCTTATGCATGAGTCAATGGACTAATCAAATTCTTTATGTATATGGTTTATGCGTTATGCAAAAGTCTGTGCTCCCCGCTTTATTCTCTGTTCTCTGTTCCTTTTATTCTGCGCAGCCCCTGATGTGATCGATGTGCTACTGCACTATTCAATAAAATAATGAAACGGTATATTACATTTCGCATAAAAATTGATTGCAACAAAGAACGATTACAAAATAAGAATTATATAGTAGTAAAACTATGGCTAAGCATGCTACTATTAAATGATATAATTTACTTATATTATTTTAATGTATTTATAAGTAAATTAGAGGATATGTTTACTTATGAATACTATTAAAATTTATTTGTATTTGTATTTTTACATTAAATAAAATGTTAAAAATAACTTTATTATCTCACATTGTTCTGTTCCTACTAATTGAATAAAACTAGTGCTGTTTAAATTATAGATATATATATTTTTCATATTATATTCCTTAGAGATGCACGTCGAGAGAAGATAATGAACTCTCTATTTTGATTTTTGCATGTAGAAAATGGAAGCTTTCCAACAAGCAATCATTCATTCTTGTTAACATTTGTGAACAACAAGGATGTAACGATTTATCTTATCAATGTTATCTGTGTCTCTTGTTAAAAAGCTCCCAATAACTTCAAAAAAAAAATGTTTGAAAAAAGAGAAAAAGATTGAGAATAAATGTATGTAAAAAATTACATAAATTAAGCTTTTATTTAAAATGATACTATTAGTTCTTTTGAGAATTCAAACTCTTCTTTTTCTATTGCATAGTATTTACAATAAATAAAAGATGCAAAGATATGTTAGACAAGAGTTCTAAGGCCGACAAAAGTATACCTCAATATTTAATTCTTCAAGCTACCAATGAATTTTCTAATAGCATAATTCACGTTTTTTTGCTACTAGAAATAAACATTGGTATATGTAGTTGTGTACACATCTTGTGTATTATATAGCACTACTTTAAACTAACTTTAATGGATAATTATAAGAATTTGGCAATATCAATCACTTTACTTTTCGCATTTGTTAACACATCTTCATGAATTGGTCATTTGTATCACATTTTATTTTTCTGTGAAAAATTGAAGAGTACCATTACATAAGACAGCATGATAAGCTCTTCACGAGCTTATATCAGTGCATGCGATTAAGAAGGCAGCAAGCCTAAGTTCTGTAGACATATTTGCGCTGCTTCTGCCTTTGCCTGTTTTTTGTTCGAACTCGCAACACTCGGCTTATATTCAATGCCATTTACTTTTACCTATAATAAAAAGATATATTTATATATAAATATATTATATACTTATTGTTAGAACCTTTATACACACACGAACGCATGCATGCACGTACGCAAGCACACATGCGCACACACAAAGTAATAAAAAACTGATTCGAGTCCTTTATCATCTCTCAATTCTCGCAATTTTTTTTTAGTTACCCGATAAGCAAAATATCTAAAATCAACGCAACTTTCGAAACAACTATAAGATATCTTTAAGAAACATCTTCAAAATATTTCACAAAGAACACTGAAAAATATCTTAAAATTATGTTGTGCACTTATTTTATCTGTTTATTCGGCAATTTTTAGAAATTATAATAATATCTAACTATTGCGAAAATTGCAAAATAATAAAGGATTTTTTTATTCGGTTATTTATCAGGAATAGCATTATATGATTAGTAGGCGTTATTTAAGAGACACCTATTTATAGCAATATTGCTCACTTTGAAGAGAAAATTTTTCCTGTGGTCTGGTCCAGATTCAAAACATAACTCATAAATTGGTATTCCGAGTTTCTTTTTTGTGCAATATTCCCCTAAAAGTGATACCGGATGTTTGCCTAGAACAAAATAAATGTGGATAATCAGTTTGATTTCATTTTAACTAAATATATATACATGTATATACACATACGCACACACATTTATGTATCTATGTGTTCGCAATATAGTTTAGATTGATATACCTTCCAATGTTTTGGTAATTGGCACCATAGGCTTTGCAGTTTTGCTAACTTTTTGAATGATATCCTGTTCGGAAATTAGTCCTTTCTTGTCTAATTTTACCTCCAGTTGCAACGGTTCCAAGGCCCCTTCTTTATTCTTTCCTAGGCCCTCACCAGGACGCCAACCCATCTTCTGGAGTAATGCCATACCCATCCCACCTGACAGAGGCTGTGCCGATACTAATTGGTCCTAAACAATTTGTTGAATTAGAAGAAATAATGAACCTATGTAGAGTTGTATTGCGCGGATATAGTATTAAATTTTTATAATCTTTGATTTGTTTAATGTTTTATTTTTTGGAATCAATAAATAATTACTAAAAGAACCATGTATATTAAATAATTAGATGATACAATTCAAGTAAATAAACTCATCAATAAGACAAATATATTCGATTTTTTTTTTGTTATAATCTGAAAAAACCTCTCTCTTTCTCTTTGTGTGCGTGTGAGGTATGTGTGTGCATAATGTTGAAAAATTTGAAGATATAATTACGCGAATTTGTTATACAACTTGCATAAAAATACTTACCAAACAGATACATACCGAATAAATAATAATCTCTGCATCAGGCTGCCGAAGTTGTTTTTTTCTCTGATGTAGCTATATGCCTGTAACAAACCCTCAGGTGGATGCAGACTAATGCTAAATATCCCAGCTTTATGAATAAAAAACAATATATCGGCTTCTGATGAAATCCTAGGAAGCTGATGATAATTAGCAATAATCTCACAAGAGCTTATTATCTCAGTTTTATATATGTGTATATATATATATAGTGTTTTAGATTAATGTATTATAATTTAATTAGAAATTTTAGATTAATATACATATCAAAGTCTAATTTATTTTTCGTATTGTGCTCTTATAATAAAATTTGTTCTCAAAATAAAATTAACTCATATTATTAAGATTTAAAATCAAAACTTTTAAAATTTCAAAATTTAATTTTTATAGAAATAATAATGCTCCTGTGTCCATGCAGGCACAGAATCCATTCCTAAATAAGAAATAGTCTGTGCCTACAACACAGTCTCTACTAATATCAATGTTAACTTTTTATCGATTCTAGTAGAGACCGTGCCCGAAAATTTGTTACAGGCAATTCAGTATGTCAATAGTGTATTTACTGAATCAATGACAGGTCAAAAATCTTAAATGACTCAATATTATAAAGCTAAGACTCCATGTATGCGGTGAGCAGCGGCAAACGCATGCGGTGACCAATCAGAACCCAGGCGCATGCCGTACTCCTGCCGGATGCGGCATGCGCCTGGCTCCTGATTGGTCACCGCATGCGTTTACCGCTGCTCACCGCATACATGGAATCTTAGCTTAACACAGAATATGATTTTATTACAAGATATGTTAAATTTGTTTCATTGTTTAATAAGAGACAGAAATTAAAAAATTTAAGAGACAGAAAAAGAAAGGAATTATAATGGATGTGTTAAGATGCATTTCACATATTGTATATAAAATAATGTTCTCTTAATGAGAATTTTAATTATGCTGTATTTTGAAATTTAAACATGTGATTATAAAAATAAGTTTTTTGTAGTGTGTATGTATGCGCGCGCGCACACACACACACACACTCACACACAAATACACACTACAAAAAACTTATTTTATATATGTATATATAAAACAAATAAAATTAAACAAATTGTTTTATGTATATATAGATATATAAAATAATAATTTACGTTTGATTTGAAAATGTATTGTGCATCGAGAGCTTTGATTTAGTTGATTCAAAGATGAATTTTATGAAATCAGAGTGGAATAAAATATGCATTAATAACTTTACCTTACGTGCCCAGGCTTGATAACCTGAAGACAATTCTGCAGGTGTAAGTACTTTAACTCCTGTACTACCAGTAAACTGACCTGGTATCTGCTTACTTTCAGCCCAAGTTTTCATCTATAAAAACATAAATAGATTCAAAATGTAAAATATAATTCCTATAAGAGCCAACACAGGGTATCAATGTGTGAAATAAAATATATTTATAAAATAAAATAAAATGTATACGTTTTGACTCTGGATTTGGATTATCTTCAGTACATAAAAAAACTTAAATATAAAAAATTTGTAACATTATTTTGTTACGTCGTAATTAGTGAAGATTGTGTCCTATCTTATAAACATTATTACATCAATTTGATAAAATTAATGTCATAATGTTTCAAATAAGAAGACCTAAGTTTCCGTTGTGCATCTTGTCATTGAAAAAACGTATAAGTTTTATTTTATAAATATATTTTATTTCACACATATATATCCTGTGTTGGCTCTTATAAGCACTATATTTTACATTTAGATAAATCTGTTGAACCTGTGTATATGCGTGTGTGTGATTAATAATTATTTTTATAAATAAATTCATGTGTGCGTGCGCGCACCATGTTATTTTATAATAATCTATATCGCTTCTTTTACCTCATTTTGTGCCCGTTGCATTGCATTCAAAGCGTTTATATCATTTGGATTTTCCCTTAATTTTCTTATAGCTGCTAATCTCTCAGATACTATGGAGCCAATATCCACGGTCTACAATCACAATTGGAACATTTTCACTAATCGGCCATACAATTAATTAACTATATAATTTTACAACATATGCATATTTTTTTTATTTTACCTCCGTTGTTGTTGGAAAAACGGTTTGCACCGGTTGCACAGGAGGTGGTAGCGTTATAGCCAACGGTGCATTTGTACTAGCTGGTACAAATATCTTTTTTGGTTCTGGCTTCTTTGACGTAACAGGTACCCATTCGTTTTCTGAAGACAAATATTGTACCATATGAGTGCATTAGAATAAAATTACGAATTATATCGTAAAACAATATTCAATACTAAAGACCGTTAATGTATGAACATAACTAATATGAAGCCTACAACAGTCTAGCTAATCTTAGTGTTGCTTATATATAATTTCACATGAATTTATATACTGATATATGTAGTCTTTCTAAATTGCGCGCCGAACGATTGTCGGCCTTGAAACGCAACTCTAATAAACTACCGCAGTACTACCACGAATTAAATTGATTAACATTTAATAATTAATTGATGCTCTTTTGGCATTTTATATCGATGAAACTATATTATAAAATCTGAAAATAATAATTCTTATTGTGAAAAATATTATCTCGGCCGGGAGTCAAACCTGGATACCTTGCTTTGCACGTAAGTATCCTAGCCAATTAGACTACCGAGGCCTTAGTAATATTCCTCGCAATAACTGATATATATGTGAAGTGATAAACGCTTTCTTTCAGGCGCGTAAATAAAGAATATTAAAAAAAAAAACTAAAGACCGTTAATGTAAGAACATAACTAATACAAATACGAAGCTTATAATAGTTTAGCTTGGATTTTTAGTTGCTTAGATATAAAATACCGCGATACTATCACAAATTAAATTAAGCAAGGTATCCAGGTTCGACTCCCACCCGAGGTAAAATTTTTCGCAATAAGAATTATTTCCAGATTTAGTATTTTCAGATTATTTGAGTTGCGTTTCAAGATCGACGATTGTTCGGCGCGCAGTTTGGGGAAACTACGTATATTAGTATATAAACTCACGCAAAATTATATACAAGCAATTAAAGATCCAAGCTAACTGTTATAAGCTTCGTATTCGTATTAATTATATCGTAAAAGTTTCTACCGCTTTTTCTATGATGTTGTCCACTGGAGACAGGAAACTGCAATCGCAATTGATTTGACGTTTCAGCTGTTTTTTCTTGGAACGTTTTTGTTGGTAACTGTTTTGCATCCTGAAAGGGAGAAATAAAATTTGCTTTAAACTTTAATATTTATATCGCATAAGAATATAATAAAACTTAAGATTTATGAACAATATAAAGTAATTTATATGCCAACCTTAATATTCATTATAATAGAACTGGGTCTTTCTTTTAAAAGAAAAGGATGATGAAATCCCTTCTCAGACTCACTTTCTTCTCCTTCAGAAGAGATACTAGATAATTCGCCTAATGCTTCAGACTTAGATAACGATTTACAAAAATCTGAAATCACAATTTTATACATTACACACGCACGCACATGTACATCAGGGAATGAAAGTAACTCGTTACTAGTAACAAAGTTACAGTTATAAGTTACTTTTTAGATAACTTCAGATTTCTTTTTTTGATAACTATATATCTGTAACATAGTTACATTTCTTTGGTAATGGTAACGAATTTTGTAGTTACTTTTATCGTTAATTAGCACATGATTGGACAGTTTCATTGGTATTCACATTTATATAATATATTGAATCAGTATCTCAGTTTGCTGCATATTTTACAAGTTTCAGAATTATAAAATTATGTTTTTAAGAAAAAAAATTAAAAAATAAGTATCATTATTGTGTGTTATTTTTATTGATATTTAAACAGAAACATACATTGCAAAAGTCTATTTTTAGACTAATTTTTTAAAAAGTAGTGAAAAAGTAACGAAAAAAGGTACTTTTTTTTTTAGTAACAATAACAAACTCTATAATAAGTTACTTTCAAAAAGTAACTTTCAATTCCCTGAGATGTGTGTGTGTGTGTGTATGCGTGCGTGCGCACGCGCATTCTACGTAAAAATTATATATATAATTATTAATAAAATTAGTGTACAAAAATTAGTGCATAAAAAAATTACCTGTAAGTTCGTCCACTGTTTTCCCACAGGTTTGTATAGCAGCGATAGCTTTATCTTGTTGAGCTATTGATAGAGTTCCTTGTTTAATCATACTTATAACATTTTTTCTTGCGATTTCTAAAAGTTTCTTCTTGTTAATCTCTATTCTTTCCCTAATAAAAAAATATTTAATAAATAAGAGATTGATATATAAATATTGTTGTATTAACAATTTAATGCAATATTAACTTTCTCTCCCTGCTCACACTTCGACCTCGTGTATATTTGTCTTTATTTTCAATGTGGTTTCTGTATCTGTATTTTTCTCTACTTCTGTCAGAGTCTCGCTTTTCTCTGCTCCTGCTCCTCTGTTTTTCTCTTCTGTCGCTTCTACTGCTACGTGAGTTATATCGCGTTCGCGATCTTGATCTTCTGTCTTGTGAATGACTATCCTTATCTCTCTTGCTTCTGCAATTAAAATTCTACATTATTCTGTATTCGTTACATATAAATCAAATACATCCTTTTTCTTTCCATCTATTTCAAGAACAATTTTTTAGATTTAAATCATGTTAAAATCTCTAGACTTAAATAATGATTTACTCTAAACTAATCTAAAACAAATTTAAACCTTTTTCTTTCCCTCTCTTTCAAAACTAATCTAAGATCAGTCTTTGAGGTGACCAATTCCTTTGTTGGACTGAACATTTTATTTCTTATTTTATCTCTGTTCGGGCTGAATGATGATGATCGATTTCGAGGTGGAGTAGGACTCAAAGTAGGTGTTCTGTTAGTATTGTTATCCTCACTGCTGCTGTCAGACAGCTCACCATCTTCCATTCCAGCAGCTTTCGCCTTTTGTTTATTTTCTATCGCTTTTACTGTTTCATTATAAACAGTGCTATTTTTCAGATCTTTTATCAATATTTTTCCTTGGGAAGGCTGCTTTGCTTTTTCTATTTATAGAAAGATATTATTTAATTTATACTTGTTTTCTTCTTTTTTATATACATTATATATTTTTAAGGCTAACTTTTTGTTAGATTCTTTCCAATCATTTAACACATCTTAACACAAACATATATAGGAATGCACACAACTTAGTATTGTACATGACTCTATTAAAACAAAATATACACATTACATATGGTTTTAATCCATTTGAGATAGAGTTAGATTAAATGTAGCTTTCTCCATCAATATTAAATTTAAAGAAAAAGTCCATTCAACATTAGGTACAGCTACCATGGTTAGTAACATATAATTGTTCATAAAAAGCACACCCTTATACAGCCAACTAATAGCTCTTCAGCTAAGTATGGATGTGTAATATTGTATTGATGATTACAGCAATTAAAACAAAACTTATGTCATGTATTATATATGAAAGTCTAATATAATTCTACAATTGGAAAAAACCTATTATCTGATTAAACAAATTATTAAATTATCTAGTTAACTAATAGTGATGGTTAACCTCATGCTTCATTCACAATGAGTTTTATCCATGATATCATAGATAAATCCAATTAGATAAAACATCAGGTTAAGCCTAACCATAAGTTCACTAGAAAAAAAAATTAAATCTTATATATATATATATGTATATATAATTATATTCAGATTATATATCTCTTAATATTATATATACATTTAAATAACAATTTATAAATATTATCAACTGTAAAAAGTACAAACCAAGAAGTTTAGGTATTACTGGTTCATCAAATTCATCATCCTTTTTTGATATAGGTGGTAACTGAGGACTACCAAGATTATTTAAGAGTTTATCAGTTGAATCTGAATCTTTCTTTAAATCATGAATATCTGGTTTTTCCTTGTCATCCATACTAATTTTGTCTGATACCTCAAAATGTGATTTTGCATCATCATATTTGGTGTCTCCATAATCATTATCATTATCCATCTTTGCTATTTTGGTCTTACTATGACCCAAGTCCGATGACTTGCTAGAAACAGATTCATGTCTTCGCTTGGATTTCTTCTTGTGTTTCTTCTTTCTTTTGCTACCTGATTAGTATGAAAAAAAAGAGAACAATTATATCGTTACAGAGTGCTAACTAATATGTAATGTACATTTTGTGTTACCATCTGCATCACTATTATCCGGGGAATCATGTTTCGACTTCTTCTTGTGTTTTTTCTCTTTGTATTTATTTTTCTTTTTGATCTTCTTCTTCGTTTGAAGTTCATCCGATTTATTGTTAGCAGTCTTGTCAACGTCGTCACTCCATACCTGGGCGCTATTTAACGGCAGCGCGATACTGTCATCAGGTGTGTCAAAGGTGCTAAAAAGCTCAGTCAGAATCTGATTAGACGACTTCTCCGGAAGCCCGGGCTCCTGTTTAATCTTCACGCCGTCCACGCCGACGGCCGTGATTAGGTTCGCAATGTCAAATAAATCTGTCATCACAGTTACTCGACTTATATCTACTTATTTATTTGCTTGTGCAGTACGAGTACTCCTGGACACCCGCGTTGACCCGCGTAGTCTGCAAGAGTTTAGTAGCAATCAATCTTTTTTTCCCGTAATGTTTCTAACCCCCATATACTAGAGTCCCTATACTGAGTCTGGCCCAGTGTTGCCGCAGGTTGAAAAATAAATTCACTAAATGGGAGTCTGAAAAACAGAAAGTCGACTACCTGATTGGCTACTGCTTTTCCGCTTTCCGTTTTTCCGTCAAGGTGTGAACCCGCCCTCTGTACACGCTTACCGACAACTGTCGGTGTCGTTAAGTAGCGATAGCCAATAAGAATCGCACTTTTCTCCTAGAACAGTCCATCTCATTGGTTATTGCTACTTAACGAACCCGACAGTTGTCGGTAAGCGTGTACAGAATAGACCGCCTGGATGCAAACCCATACAGCGGAACGAGAGCAGAAATGGGCCTTCTACAATAAGCCATAAGTCATAAATCGGAAGTAAGAAACTAAAAATTGACGACTGTGATTGATCCATTTCTAGTTTATGACTTATGATTTGTGACTTACGGCTTATTGTAGAAGTCCCAGAACCAATGGGCGCATTCAGCAGAAAAGAGCGCTACTAGAGCGCTCGCTGTTATTGGTATATTCTTTCAGATTTAAAATTCTGATTGGATGATCTAGAAGAATACACCAATAACAGCGAGCGCTCTCGTAGCGCTCTTTTCTGCTGAATGAGCCCAATAACGAGCATTCCATGTTTCTAGAGAATCTCGTGATTGGTTCTACTTTCGTTCCGCGACTCTATTCCGCTGCATGGGTTTGCACCCTCACTCTCCAAAATTTATGGCTGCGCGAATCGCACCACTTTCATCATGGCGTCGATGTCACGTATGGATACTGTGTCACTGGGCGCATTCAGCAGAAAAGAGCGCTACGAGAGCGCTCGCTGTTATTGGTGTATTCTTCTAGATCATCCAATCAGAATTTTAAATCTGGAAGAATATACCAATAACAGCGAGCGCTCTAGTAGCGCTCTTTTCTGCTGAATGCGCCCACTGTGTGTCACTGTGGTGTCGATGTGTGCAGTGAAAACAAAGGCCTCGCACAATCAACAACATGACTGACTGTAGGACACATAGATCAAAGGTACCGGAGTGAAACTACTGTACTTACTTATACTAGAGTCCTATACTAATAGCGTTTTCCACTGGGAAAACTGGTGCAGCACCAGCGCCGTTCTACCCAATCAGCATATTATATTTAAAAAATATTTTTTAAATATGGTATGCTGATTGGGTAGCACGGCGCTAGTGCTGCACCAGTTTTCCCAGTGGAAAACGCTATAAGT